TAATCGATGTTTTGGGCCCTTATATGTAATATTTTTTAAATATCAGGTCCTTATATGTAATTATTTTCAATTTGGGTTCTTATTTGTAATTATTTTCACTTTTCGGGCCCCTATATGTAAATTCCCCTATTATTTAATACCTGCTATTTTTATACCACTAATACCTCACCCACAAAAAATTTTCCTCTGCGTTCTAACAAAAAAAAAAATTCCTGGCGAAATTTTGGTATAAGCTATGTCCCTTTCTTGGCCTTCATCCTAACCTTAAAGATATGGTTTATTTATTTAAATCTTTCACTTAATTCGATTGTTTTGATTTTTACGTTATACCTAATCTAATTGCTAAAACCACGTTCCGGAAAATTTTTCGTGGGTGAGCTATCAACAATCTACATGGCGGTAGTTATTAAACCTAGGTGCCGCACAAAAAAATGCGTAAAAAATTCACGATTTTGATTGGCCAACGGCGACAATCAAAAAATTAGACCAATTACTCAAATTTTTACTAATAAAATTTAGTAAAAAAAAATGTTCCTGGGCTAATTTTACCATTGGGGAGGCCAAAGCCTTAAAATTTCCCATTTTTGGGGTACGTCTAAAGCCGTGTGCGGTCATATGTTTTTGACTTTTTAATTAAATAAAGTTAGGGTAAAGATTAATGTAGGGTTAGGGTGAGGATAGATCTTATAGTAAAATTGCCTCCCAGACGTTTTTCACTTTTTTTTTCTTCGTCGGGATGATCCCGTGTCGATTTTATTGTCTCTATGTCATGCAACTGTACACGCTTTAGACACCCCTATTTTTGAAATTAAAAAATTAAAAAAAATAATTCCAGCCAAAATTATACATCATGCGGGCCAAAATTTTGTTGATCACAGCCATTGGCCAATCAAAATCGATGATCAACCGCGCTAGCGTTAACAACCTAAAAAATTTTACTGGTCAATCAGATTTCAAGATCAGGTGTGACGCAGAAGAAATGCAAAAAAATCGAATTTCAAGATCAGGTGTAATATAGCATGATAAGGAAATTCAAAACAAACGTTCGTTATATCAAAAATCACTTGCAACTCAAAATTTAGTCTATGAAAAAGCCTTTTGCACATTAGTCAAAAATTTTTCTTGCAAAATTTCGGTATATAAAATACTTTCAAATCCAAACTTAGGAACAGAGCCCCTAATCAAAACCTAACAGCACGAAATTTTACACGTAATACATAGGTTGTAAGATTTTCGAAACATTTGCACTTAAAGGTGTGTATACAGTACTTTTGGACTGTGTGCTTTTGATTTCTTTCGATATGATCAAGACCGATCTTCTGTTTTGGTGTACCATGGAGCTGCGTTTCTCTAACGGCCCTGGCAGATAAATCATTTAGGTCGTGATATAGGTAGCAATATAAGTAATGAATAATTTAATGTGTTATAACGCTGTAATGCAGTAATGTAATATAGCATATTTTAGTATATAATAAATAATTATAGATATAAATACAATACCTCTCTAAATGCAAGATTTTTTTGGCCGCCCCTCGGCTATGCATTTGAGATGTCTGACTGTATTTTTTTTTTTATATCATTTAAATATGGGTTATGATACGTACATATGAACATGTATAATTATTTTATTATGCAGTTTTTAAAATAATTTTGGTTTACAAATGCAGCTTAACTCGCTCTTTTTAGTTCAACTTTTGATAGCATTCAGAACTGCTACAAAAATCAATTCAAAGACTTATCAAAACAAAATTGAATCGATTTGGATGCAAATTGGTCTGTTAATTTGTCTGTTAATTTGTCTGTTAAATAGTTCACAACTTTTTATATGTTAAAATAAATCGATGTGTAATATCGTAACTAAAATGGTTACTTAATTGTTATGGAGGGTATAACTCAATATTTGGGATTATTTAATTCCAAAAGAACATTGAAAATAATAAACGCAGTTTACCTGCAGTTTAAATATATTAATTCACTTTAAGTAATTGCACTATATAAAATCGGTCTTTCTAATTTTTAGTCCCGGCAATTATACAAAGTATTCACATATACTCTGGTTCATGTCTTAATTAATTTATATTTATGTTATGATTTGAATTATATACTTTATTTGCTTCGTTTGAAACAAAGATCATTCGCGAAGCTTACAAAATCAGCGCTTAATTATCAAAGTTCGTACAGAAAGTGTAATTGTTTTTTCTTCAGAAACACTAGATCCAAATCAACTCTACAATGTACTATATATAAATACGACAAGTAGTGCGACTTATTATAGCCTACGGCAGTCATTACGACCTTAATCATTTATTACGACCTACATTATATCTTACGACCCACGACAATACACACATCGTGCTACAACAGTGTTCGAAATTAGTATTCTCAGAGTTTTCATGAGAACACCATTATGAATTTGTGCACAGTTAATATTCTCTATTAAAAATTTTTTGTAAAATAAATAAGAGTGTTCTCATCCATAATATAAGAGTTGGAACCGCCTGAAATTTTCTAATCGATTAACCGTTTAAGCGTGTCAATTACTGGCATTAAGGTAAATTTGGCTCATTACCAATGTAATTCATGTTTGAATTATAAAACAATTGTTACGCGGTTAAACTGTTCCAATTCTTACTATAACGATAATACTGTATGTATGTTCTATTATAGTTGTTTTTGGTTTGTTTGTTTGGTTGTTCATGAACATAAAACAAATATTTGAGAACGCTTATAGCTATTATACTGTATTTGAGCCTTAAATTTCGAGCACTGGTTGCGATGGTAGAACAAACCAACATGTCGGCGGATTTTTACACAGCCCCCAAATTACGTACGTACGTATGAAATTAAATGTTTTTATTATGCTGTTTTACCATTCGTATTATTATGATTTAGGGTCATTACCGTTAAATTAACTATCGTTCATTATTTTTAGGGACAAGTAAAAAGGCCCAATTAACTTTAATTAAATAAATCCGCTGATATGATTATCACCCCTAAAGCATAAGCAATGCTACTCTGTAATCTAAGTCCCCTTTCCTTTGTTATATAAAAAATCTCCCGTATTTTAAAAAGTTTATTAATGACCATTCCGATAGCTTCTTGGTCTTAAAAAAAATCCAATAAGTGTATGTTTTCCATTGCCGGGAAAGCCAGGAAATGTATTAAGGATCTGGAGCATAATTCATAGTTGCATAAACGTGTAAATGCGCATATTTTGGTATACAAATTTGAACATGCGTGCGGACAAACAAAGTTGCATTTTTGATAACGATAATGTTACGAGATGTATTAAAAAAAATAATCATTTTTTGGTTAAAATGCATCAAAAACAATTTTTGAATCACTTTGCATATACTTCCGCCATGCCCCGAACAATTAGATGAAAATCTTTTATAACAGGAAGTTTAACGATAAATATTTTGTATTTACATTTGGTCATTATAGATTTCACGGTTCGCAACCGGTATAGTAAGTACATTGGTAGATCCACTATTGTGAAGGGCTTCGTGTGTGTGATTGTCATGTATGATCTTCGCTCGAATGCTTAATTCCTAGTTTTGGTCAGGTAAAACAGGTTTTGATGTATAATCAAAGTAATATGCCATTGTCGTTACGAAAAATGTTTTTTTTTTCCTTAAAGATAGATCATAAAAATCAACACGTTTTTAGTCAGTGAGAATATTCTAGGTTTACTTATTCACGCGAGTAGGGTAGGGATAGGAATCGGTGTAGTCGACTAATTAGTCAACTAAACATAGTATATAGTTTATTTTTTAGTCGACTAAACCGATTTCAATCCCTACACACGAGTAATATGTAATACAAACCGAAAGGAAGTTTGAGTGAAAGTAGAATTTTATGGTTAGAACGTTAACTATAAGAGTTATCGTAAACTATTCCTAGTATTTTGGCTTTTTTTTTTTGCATGCTTTTATTGATGGCAGTTTCTCTTTTATGAGTTTGTAAAAATAACGGGTTGAGAATTTGTATCGGTATGGGAAAATTATCTACCTGATATATAGTAACGTAATGTTACGTAATTAAATTTATTATCGTTATGTATGTATGTTGTGCCTCAGATCGATTCTTGCCTCAGGTGATAACTGAGGCACCTCAGATGTCGATCGTCATATGAGATGCG